TTCCAGGACAAGCTCCAAAGCAACACAGAGAAACCCTATCTCAAAAAACTAAAAAAAAAAAAAAAAAATCTGTTTAAATTGTCTTTATGATCTAGAATAGATAATGCCTAAAATGTGTCGACATACTTGATGCCTACTAATAGTAATTTTTTTCTAGCAATACTGTGGATTGAATTCAGGGTCCAACACACTCTATAAGTGCCCAACCCCATACTCCTAGCCTCTGTGAATTGTATTTATAACCAGTCCTGCAGTAGCAATTTGTTCAATTTTAATGCAGTTTTCATCATACTTTCTATCCTTATCACTTATTTAATATGCTGTGGTATAATGGAGAATCCACAAGACCAAGAATCATTGGTCATTAAAACTTAGTTTCAAGTATCAGTTCCATTCTTTACTATTTTCACGCTTTGGGAAGAAAAAAAGTTAATGCAGAGGTTTTCAATGAGTTGTAAATCATTCCTGAAATCAACCCAAGATACTTGAGGGACAGCCATGAGGCCAAACTTACTCTTGCAGTAGTACTAGGCCTTTGTCTGCTCTTGTCATTGTCTTAGGGTTACTATTGCTGTGATGAAACACCATGACCAAAGAAGGAAAGGGTTTATTTGGCTTATACTTCCTCATCACTGTTCATCATCAAAGGAAGTCAGGACAGGAACTCAAACAGGGCAGGAATCTGGAGCTGATAATGCAGACACCATGGAGGGATGCTGCTTACTGGCTTGCCCAGCCTGCTTTCTTATAGAACCCAGGAGCCAGCACAACCAACAAACGTTGACATTTGTATTGATGGTACCAAAGCAATAGTGGGCAACGGGATCCAGGCAGTGCTGGAGTACTTGTACTGCCATATTCCTCGTACGGTGCACTGAGGATTGAATTATGCTTCTGATGGTCTGCATTAAAGATGCAAACTTCATTAAGAGACTTCAATCTTGACCCTTTATAGAACAAATTTTCAAAGGTCTGTGTCAGGATACAGAGCTGTACATGAGTTTTCCATTGCAAATCAAGGCTGCATGGTCATCATGAGTGTGAATGTGATGATTTTAGTCATGAGATGAATTAACTCTTTTTTTTATTCCATAATATAGTGGTTTGAATAAGAATGACCCCCGTAGGCTCTTATATGTGAATGCTGAATCACCAAAGAGCAGAACTGTTTGAAAGGGTTAGATGGTTTAGGAGGTCCTTGTTGGAAAAGCATGTCACTGGAGGTGGATTTTGAGGTTTCAGCAGCTCATGACAGGCCCAGTCTCTCTCCTCTCTCTCTCTCTCTCTCTCTCTCTCTCTCTCTCTCTCTCTCTCTCTCTCTCTCTCTCTCCCTCCCTCCCTTCCTCCCTCCCTCCCTCCCTCTTCCCCCCCGTAGATCAGGATGTAGCTCTCAGCTACTTCTCCAGCACCATGCCTGCCTGCCTGCCACGCTCCCCACCATGATGATGATGGACTAACCCTCTGAAACTGTAAGCAAGCCCCCAACTAAATGCTTTCTTTTACGAGTTCCCTTGGTCATGGTGTTTCCTCACAGTAATAGAGCGGTGACTAAGACACATAACATCCTTGTTACTTGAAAGAATGACAGCCAGTGTGCTAGTCCATCACGAAATCGAAATCAGCTTACATGATGAAGTTTCATTTGGGACTGTGGTTTCAGAAGGATTGGTCCATAGTTGGCTCCATGGCCTTTAGCCCTTGGTAACACAGAACATTATCATGTGTTAGAGCAAAGCTCCTGGCTTCAGTATTCAAATAATAACATTTGATCTTCCAAGTGAGTTAGAAACATTTTATGTGGTTCCGAGCCTGGCAGCCTCAATCATTTATTAAATTATTAATCAATTATTAAAGACTCCCTGGTAACAGGGAGGATGTTAGTGAATGTGGCCTTGCCTGGACCTCTGCAAGAGCAGAGAGTGCTCTTAGCTGCTGAGCCATTTCTCCAGCCCGACACACTACTTTCAAAGACGATATTCTAAACACTTACTACTGAACGTTAATTAAGTTTATGGTTATTCTTCTTCGTGTGAACACTCACCCTGAGTCTTCTTCATTCCATGGTTTTAAATGAATACTCTGAACACAGGAGTTGAAAAGTATCCCTAGTAAATGTTAGATTCTCACTATGTAGCTCTGGCTGGCTAGGAACTTACTGAGTAGGCCAGGCTGGCCTCAAAGTCATGGAGATCCAATTGCCTCTGCCTCCCAAGGGCTGAGTAGGATTTAAAGTTTTGTTTTTGAAATAGAGTCTGGCTTTGTAGCCCAGGGTGTCCTCAAATTGATGACCCTGCTTCAGTCTCCTGACTGCTGGTATTAAGGCTCTTGCTCACAAGGTTGATGACATGTGAGATTCAATTGTTTGACCTAGTTGCTGGTAATCTCTTTCAACCATGCGTTTGAGTGTTGAACTGCTGTTCTATGCTTTTCCCTTAAAACAATACAAAACAAAACCCATGAAATTCCCAGCTACTCTTGCTAAGGCAGGAGGATTCGATGTTCCCAGCTAGCCTGAGGTACAGAAGTGAAACCCTCTTGAAAACCAGGGGCTGGGGAATGTAACTCATGGTAGAGCACTTGCCTGGCAAGTGCAAAGCCACAAGTTTGATCCCTAGTGCAGCAAAAAGTACACACAAACAAAAAACCACAAAAATTGCCATAACTAAAGTTACTGAAGAAAATAGTTTCCCGGGAGTGGGAGTTTCTGGATGATGGAGTCTGCACATATTTGGCTTTATTGGGTGCTAATAGATTGTTTTTCAGAGCAGGCCCATAAGCAGTGTCCAGGTTTCCATTTCTCTACTTCTTTACCAGCACGGGATACTGCCATGCCTACTTTCACAACTACGGTAGCAGGTTTCTCCAGCTCTCATTCATGAATCGTATTTCAAGCAAATTATAATTCTTTCAGATCCTTCATCATATCCCATAACTCATCTCTCTCCTCTGGGAAGTGTTTATTGAGTAATTAACGCCTGTAAGAAATTCTGTAATGAGCTAGAAAAAGCAAGGAAAGGCCAGGATTCCTGCCGTAAAGGAAGCTTATGGTTTATCAATAGGTGAGATGTGCTTGCAAACCGTGTGTGTGTGTGTGTGTGTGTGTGTGTGTGTGTGTGTGTGTGTGTGTGTGGTTTTTTTTTTTCCAGATAGGCTTTTTCTGTATAGCCCTAACTATCCTGAAACTCACTCTGTAGACCAGGCCAGCCTCACACTCAAGGAGATCCTCCTGCCTCTGCCTCTGCCTCTCTAGTGCTGGGACTAAATGTGTGCACCATCACACCCAGTGCAAACAATTCTCAATATACCTGTTAAAATAAAATTGTGAACAAAGCAAAGTGTGTGGAAAAGCAAAAGGAACAATGGAGTCCCCCACCATTGGACAAGAAAGGGAGGGATGGGGGTCAGCAAAGCTTTCACAGAATAAGGAGTTGGACATGTTTGCCCTCATACAGTTTCCTTTGCCTAGAAAAAAAAAAGTGTCTATCTCAGGAGACCCTGTGAGTGCAGAGTCCCTGAAGTCTGAGCTTCCTTGCCCTGTCATGGAGCTGGTGAAGATGGGCTGTGAAGTCTATTTGTCTTGGGGCTCTGGAGCAGCATTGTTCTGGGCAGGGGTTTGTGGGCTTGGACCCTGGCATCACACTACTGTGATCAGTCTCTAGCTCTCCTGGGACAATGGGCAAATTATTTGATATCTCCATGTCTCAATTACCCCCTCCTTAAAATAGAATCATAGGTCATGGGGAGACTTTAGCAAAAGCTTTTAAGTTAGCTTGTAAGAATCACTCAATACCTGCTCACTGTTCTTATTCCACACACAAATATTTGGCCCTCTGCTGCTAAACACCTGTCTGGGATTGCTGCCTTTTCCTTATAGAGGACTCCCAAATTCCAACCTGATGGAAGACCCTTCGCACCTCCCTGCTGAAGCAGATGTTCTGGAGGAAGGAACACAGAGAAGGGATTGGATACTAATGTCTGGAGGTGGCTGTCCCCTGTGAAACATGTCCTGTGACTGAGCGTGGGCTCAGGCACTCAGCTCTGTGCATGTGACTGTAGGTGTGAGCTGGTCAGAGCATTCTGGATTTCTGGTAACTATCCTGAGCAGGTGGGTGGGGAAGAGCCACTACCAGCCTTTGGTGCTAAGTAATAAGGCTATGCACCTGCTCTTGTCCTGAGATCTGGGGGTGGAGGCCAGTTCCCCCCCCACACACACACAATACACCTGGTGAATGGAAAGAGAAGATGGATTGTGATGGACACCGGTGAGATGTCCCCACTGTGCAACCACCCCAGGGTGACACTTTGCCAAGCACCTGTGCCAGTCTTGGGTTTTGACTCAGTCTTCCCCCATCTTGAGAACAGTTTGTGTACCCTCTGAAGCTGGAGAAGTGGACCCCAGCTTCCCCCAGTCAAGATGCTGGCAGGGACCCTGGGTCCATAGATGTGAAACCATGGAGAGAGGAGCAAACGTGTCTGCCAGGGGGCAGTAGATGTCTGGCTGCCAAAGCTGAGAAGACAAGAAAGCAACAAATCCCCCTGGCCAGAGTTTGGCAGAGTGCCGAAAACATCCTATCTCTCGAGGAACTGGGACAAAGGTGGCCCTCTCTTAGTATGTGCAGTATCCCATGGCCTTCCCTTAGTTGACTTCAGGCTCCGCTGGCTGTCCCCTCCCCTCTCTCGCCTTCAGCCCTCATCTACTCACAGGTCAGCCTTGACTAGCAAGCTCTGAACACTTTATCCCTTGTTGGCAGTCACGAAGCTTGTCTGAGCAAATACCAGACACAGTCACCAACTGCCAGCTCTGCCTACCCTTTAAATCCTGAGCCTGGAGAGATCCGCACGCAGCAGGATTGAGTGGTGACATCCTTACAGCTAGCCAGGTACACCGCACGCAGTGACCTCTGGATTCGGAGTTTCATCCATCCTCAGTCGCTGCAGACCTGGATCCCAAACTGCACTCGCAGCCTTCAGAACGGGATCCAGGCTTCCAAGGAGCCAAGATGACAGCCCACATACCACCAGAGGTCAGCTTTTCACCAATGACCCCCTAATGGCACAGGATCTTTGGCACGGGGTGGGATTCTGCTGAACAGTTTATAGGGGCCAGAGCTGGGAGCTGCAGAGGCATCTTGGACATCTTTTTGGATTTGTATGACCTTCCAAGTGAGGAATGTGGAGTTTATTTTGGCAGTTGACTTTAAAGAAAAATCCCACCCAGCCAGTACCTTTCTACATACATGTGCATTTTCCTTTAAATGTTGCTTGAGGTACAAATATTTTACCCCCGTGCCTGCCCCTTCATTTTGAGGTCTGATTTTATTGTCAACCCATTTTGTATAGTTTTTGGGAATGTTTCTCTGTCCCATCTAGGGGTGGATGCTGTTTTCCTATGATCTGGGCACTGGGTCCAGGGTCTCTGTGCCTCTACCGCCTTGGCTGTATAACGGGAAACGGACCCCTTGGTGCCCTCAGGTGCCTGCGTTTGATTCTCCACTCCCTCTCTTTGAAGAGCTCCAGCAGCTGTGGCACCACCCTCATAGAACCTCACTCCTGGGGTCCTCGGAGTGCAGAAGAGAAAGTGCAGAAGACGTCCTTCCACTCAGAAGATATCCGTCCTGAAATGAAAGAAGACATACATGACCCCAGCTACCAGGATGAGGAGGGGCCCCCGCCCAAGCTGGAGTATGTCTGGAGAAACATCATCCTCATGGCCCTGCTGCACTTGGGGGCCCTGTATGGGATCACACTGGCTCCCTCCTGCAAGTTCTACACCTGGCTCACAGGTAATCACCCCAACCCCTTTGTCCTGAGCCTGTACTCCAGCTTTCTCCCTACTCTTTAATGAGATAGGCTCTGACTCAGAAAAGTAGCTACAATCTGTCCAGATTTTTCAAACCTTCTCTTCATTTTCTGAGATAACTAGACTAGGAACAGAGCCTCGTGGGATTGGGATGCAGAGTGTCAGTTCTGGGAATCCTTTAACATGGGTGTCAAAGCCTACGAAGGGTCGAGGGAGGGACAAACCAATGGTAAAGAGTTGGCAGTCTCCGAAAGAGCTTTTCTGTTCAAAAAGCTTCCTGTCTCAGCATTGCCTGCCACAAGAAAACTAAGGCCTTTGCTGGGAGGCATGGGAGCCTGATGAGGGGCCCCATGGGCTATGTGCGTAGTCAGGAGGCAGAGCAAGGGGAGACTGATCAGAGGGGACCATTGGAGAGGAAGACATAGAAAGGGGTAACCCACAAAAATATCTGTACACGATTCTGGCCCGGCTAAGCTTGTTTGGCCCAAAGAAAGGTGAGGCAGGCTCCCCATACAGCCCAAGTGCACGGGTGTGTGGCTCTGTTGCTCCAGGTAGGTCCTGTCAGTCAACAAGATGTTCTTAAAATGAAAAAAGAGGGTTGAGAAATGGTTCACTTTCCATTCTCCGGGCAGCTAGTTTCTGCCCTGTCTCAGGAGACCATGTAGGACAAAGGGCCAAGAACCTTCTAACACGAGTTCTCCGGTCTCCTATCCACCCCTCCTTGCCAACCAAGGACAGCCAGGCACAGAGAATAAAGTCTTGGGAAACCCTGGCCATCAGGCTGTTGTAACAAGGAAGCTAGTTACCACTGTGTCCATTGCCTGCTAGCTCAGCCTCTCAGGGGTCCATGGGTGTGGGCTGGGGCGGGGCTGGGGCGGGGCTGCTCCTGGACACAGATCTGTGCTTTCAGGCGGTTTAACCTCTGACTCCTGATTCCTGGATCAGGAAGAAGGAACAGGACTCTGTGGGACGGGCCCCTTACTGTCCTCTGAGGAATGACAAACCAGGGGCCCCTCTCTAGAAGACACAGGACGTTTCTGGTAGCTATTTCTAAGAGGGTAGTGATGTAGAAGTTGGCTGCCAGGTGTTGGCTGCCCCTGCTCTCGGCCTCTTAGTACCTCCAGCAGGTGAACTCTGGCCCTTGGAGATTCATCTTAGAAGTTCTGTAGGTGCCAGGGAAACACAAGAGGAGGACCCCTTCCTCAGGACCTCAGTTTTCCCAGGTACGGAATAGGGACAACAATGCTTTGTCATGATTCGGAAGGTCACATTCCTTTGGTTAGTTATGTGTTTTCCCAGGGTGTCTCCTAACTCACCTACTTAAAAGCCTTCTGTCCTGCAGGGATATTAACACAGAGGGCTAAAAGGGGAAAACCCTGCAGCCCACTTCTTAGAACAATGCTACAAGATGTTGTTTAATAACCAATATGACCACAAGCAGTCCTTCCCTGGGGGGTCATGGAACTAATGTATTTGAACCAAGCTATCTATTGGACAGTCAAGGGGTTGAGAAGGACAGGGCACACAGTGTTTGAGTTCTCGTCCTGATCCCCTTGTACTTAACTGCTTGTTCTTGCAAAACTAACGTACCAGAGACACCTGTGACATGAACTCACACGGGCACTTCCGGGTGCTCCACTGAGAGCTTTGGCCAAAGCCCTTTCTTTCCTCCTGCCACTACAGGACTCTGGCTCCTCTGTGGTTCAGGGTCAGATCATGTATGTGGGAAGAGCTCAATCTAAACACAGCCAGAAGCAGTAAGTCACTTGGGTCTGGTCCCAGTTCCGAGGGACTGTGACCAGAGCCTTCCCTGGCTGCACACTGGCTCTGCGGCCTTTGTGGTAATCCCAAGAAGAAATGGGATGGGGCAGGAGAGGGGAGAGGCTGCTTGGGAACTGTTATTTCTTGGTCTGGAAGGACACAGACAGTTTATACAATGTATTGTGACTTCAACCTGAACTACACTCTTTGGCCTCGAAGGAGCCATGGTTTCCAGCTGCCCACAGACTGTTGACAGTCTCCTCCAAGCCCTCACGGGTCCAGCCTTAGTCAGGGGACAGAGCAAGGGGAGACTGCTTCCTTCCCTATTAACAATTGCATCTTCTAAGCTTTTGACAGTCAGGTAGGACATGGTAACCATCCCTAGTCCACTCTACAAATGTAACGAGTTAACTTGCCCTAATACAGGCACCATCAGCCGCCAGTTTAAGTGTTACCCAGCATTGTATTGGCAGCCAGCATCCAGACTGACAGAGGAACATGGCGAGGGAGAGATTTGGGATCTTGGGGGATGGATGACAGAGTTGGAACAGTGCCGATGGCTACGGTTTTGCTATAGTGAGAGATTCTGGGTAAACACTTAACCTTTTCTATGATCTGCTTCTTCAAGATGCATAAGTGATCACACCTACCGCCTGAGGTGTGCAGTAATTGTGAAAATATTCAAATTCTTGATAAAGCTCAGGCCACTGTGGACATGGAACTCTGCAGGGCTGGCTCACCCTGATATGGGCATGTTATCTGCCAGCATACTGGAATGCTGTTGTCATAACTGGTGAATTAGCACAGACCCGTGATCTCTCAGTGTCTCTTAAAACTTGGGTTTGTTGTAATTGATCAAACCAAATTGCTCTGGTTGCTATTTTTCAAGGCACAGAGGGACTAATCTGTGGCCCTGGACACCTTAGAGGAAGGTTGGAGTTGACAGGCCCAGAGGTACTGCCCCTGCAGACAGACAGTGAGAGTACTGTGGCCTGTCTAGATTCCTTTCTTTATTTCTGGGGCCTCTAAGCTTACCTCCATCTCTAGATAGAGAGGTTGGGGCATCATAATGGGATTACTCAAGTGTTCAAAGCCACAAGATAACAAGACCAAGGCATTCCAGAGTTTGGGGGAAAGGAACTTCACTAACTTCTGAAGAAACAGTAGACTAGAGTCAGTGAAGGGTCCTTTCATCCTTGGCCCGATGGAACCTGCAATGGTTGGTGATGTTCCTGCTGTCTCCTGACAGGAATATTCTACAATTTGGTTGCTGCTTTGGGCATCACAGCCGGGGCTCATCGCCTGTGGAGCCACCGAACTTACAAGGCGCGCCTGCCCCTGCGACTCTTCCTCATCATAGCCAACACCATGGCTTTCCAGGTGAGAAGCTGCCCATAGAGGCTCTGTGTCTACCACGAAGGCTTGAGGAATGTACAGTGAGTTAGCACCTCAAGAGGAGCCAACAGGACAGCCATTATCCTTCTCATTTTCCTGCAGTCCCCACAAGTGCATGCTCAGTACCGAGGTCCACATGGCATGGGATGTCTCAGAGTCAGCAGGATGGGAAATTAGGAGTTAATTGGAAGACTCTCCAATTGTAGGGTCACTTTTTTCCCCAAGTTTCCCATGTAACATATTGTATGTAGTCCTGGCTATCCTGGAACTCACTATGTAGACCAGACTGGCTTTGAACCTGGAGATCCACCTACCTCTGCCTCCCAAGTGCTGGGATTAAAGGCATACATCACCACCACCGAGTTTGACTCTGGTTTCTTTAACATTTGGTGAACAGTAGACTCATGCTGTAAGGTGTCTATCTCAGGAGTCCCAATGGGATCAGAAGTAATATGCCACAGACTTGGGGACTCTGCTGCAGATAATAAGAACACTTCAATGGCAAGCAGAATGCTAGCATTTGTGACATAAATGAATTTATTAAATCCTCAAATGTCTTAGGAGATTGAACCCCATTTTACACTTGGTCACTAAGAGACCGAACAGGTAAACACTCTGGACCTATGAGTGACTGTCTTGCTGGGTAAGCAAATATTGAAGTTTGCTGAGGCAAAGTCGTAACAGAAACAAGGGAAAGGAATCAGGGGCCTGTTTTTGCTATCAGACTTCAGCAGTGGGCTCAGGATAGCTGGGGTATGGGTCTTAATCTCAACAAGAGGAAATCAAATCAGTCCCTCTGTCTTGGCTAGATTTGAGGTTCTCACCTTGTGTATCTAGTCATTTCTACTATAACAAATTATCCCTCAAAGGCTCCTCACGTCCTGGTGGAACAAAACCAAAATAGAGACCTTGATGCATTTTTGAAAGAGTAGAAAGAGTCACAAATAAGTCAGAGGGCATTTAGGAAAGGGCTAAGGCTCATGAGTTACACACTGGCCCTGACCCTGGGTTGGGTGAGCTGTTACTCGTAAAGGCATCAGGATGAATATCCCTGTACCTTTATGACAGAGCAGCATCCCTGGATGCCAGGACACTTGCCCATAGTCTCTGCACCCAATGATTAGGTATTCCATGAGAAGCCTGTCTCACATTTCTTTCTTCAAGAACTAGTATTCCTTGCCTTTCTCTCTGGGCTCGTGGACCTCATTGCCGCCACCCCCACCCCCATCTCCCCATCACACAACCAAAGAAGCAACAGTGATTCCTAGGTCTGGAACTGTAAGTTGCTTTCCTACATAAGCTTTAGGG